TATTCCCCCACCCCCAAGCATTTAGTACCTGGGATTTATGCTTCTAATCAAGACATCATTTGAGTAATTTCAAATCATGTACAGCTCTTCATGTAAAAAAGATGCCTCCTGGTCACAGTTATTTCAAAAGGTAATTCTATTCAAACAGCAGGACATATCTTGCTTTAGCAATTACAGAAGCATGGTTTTGACACATGGCAGGTTTTTAAGTTACGGCAAATGTGAAATGCTAAAGGATGAGAGCAGCCATTCCTTTGCTTAAGGAACTAGTGCTGCAAAGCTCGGGTAATGACTTTATTTTTTTTCAGTTAACTTATCCGGCCCACAGTGCAGCATACCAAATCGTAAGGACTTACGGAGGTACAAACGCAAAGGAAGTAGTAACTTTACCAATTTAACAGTATTTTGCCAAATCAAGAGAGTGGTCTTTAATACAATAAAATCATACTTTTCTTTTGTTTTTAATTGTACTTTTCTTGAAGTCACATATTATTCTCATGATAACTTTCATTCTAAAAATATAATTTAATTACCAAATTAAAACATTGTGGGTTTTAATGGTGGCTTTATAATATTTCAAGATAGTTTATACAGATTCATATGGCCTTTAAAAGTACATAACTTCTCCACTTAAAGCAACTTCCCTCCTGCGAGCTGTTTGAGTTTAAAGCAGCAATGCAATTGAGTTTATGTAAAATACAGCTCTTCTTTATCATGGGGTTGATCCAAAACCAGGTAGAGTTCAAATGCATGGAAAGCTTTAAAAGTCTACCTTAGGGAGATTGAACAGTCTCTAATTTTTTCCCCCGATATTATTTTATAGTTTTTTGCCTAGATTCATTCCTAGGAATATCTTCGTTTTTTATGTTATTATTAATGGTGACTAGAGCAGGCAGAATAACGGTCCCCCAAAATGTCCATATGCTAAGCCCCAGAATCTGTGTTATGCTGTGTTACAGTGCTTATGTTTTGGCACATGGCAAAAGGGACTTGGGGTTCGCAGATGGAATGAGGCTGCTCATCAGCCAACCTTAAAATAGGAAGATCATCTGTGTGAGCCCAGTCTAGTCACGAGCTCTTAAAGCTCAAGACTGAGGTAGAAGAGAGAGTCCAGGAGACGCGCCATGAGGACTTGACCGCCATGCTGGCTTTGAAGGTGGAGGAAGGAGGCCTCAAGCCAAGGAACGCCGCAGTAGCCTCTAGAAGCTGGGAATGGCCTTCGGCTTACAGCCAGCAAGAAGACAGCTCTGCAGCCACGAAGAACTGAATTCTTCCAACAAGCCAGAGGAGCAGGAGCCGGACTCTCTCCTAGGGCCTCCAGACAAGCACGTAGCCCCGTTGACACCTTGCTCTCAGCCTTGTGACACCCATACGACTTCTGACCTACAGGACTGTAATATAGTAATTTGTGTGGTTCAAGCCACTAAATTTGTGGTCATTTGTTATGGCAGCATAGAGATATAATATTTATATAAAATTTTGAATTTTGTTTGCCATCGATACATAAGATTGATTTTTACGTATTAATCTTGTCTCTAGTAACTTCACTTAATTAATGTATTGATTCCAGTACATCCTCTGTAGATTCCTTTGGATTTCCTACATCCACAATTGAATCCTCTGTGGACAATGGCAGTTTTAGATTTTCATTTCCAATCCATATAGCTTCTACCTCTGTTCCTTCCTTGATGGCCCTCGCTGGCTAATGCTGAGAACTGTGAAGAGCAGGCATCCTTCTCCTTCTTGACCTCAAAGGGAATCATTTCAATGTCTCACCTTTGAAAATAATGCTTGCCGCATGCAGGTTTTGGTAGATTACCTTGATCAGGTTGAGGAAGTTGCCTTCTGTTCTTATTGGATGGATCTGGAGTTTGACAAATGCAATTTCCTTTTTTTTGGCCCCAAATAGAGTTTTCTTTTCCTTTTTTCCCTTAATGGAGGCACTGGGGATTGAACCCAGGATCTCGTGCACACCAAGCACATGCTCTACCACTGAGCTATATCCCTATCCCCTGGCCCGTTTTTTTTTTTAAATAGAGGCACTGGGGATTGAACCCAGGATGTCACACATGCTAAGCATGTGCTCTACCACTGAGCTATTATCACCCTCTCCAGCACATACATAGTTTTTATTCTTCATTAACGTCGTAAATCTACTGATGGGTTTCCTTTTTTTTTTTTTTTTTGTGGTGTGAGGGGAACAAGGGCAGAGAGAGGCTTGGAGAGAGAAGCAATGGCAGATTGTGCAGACCCTTTGAGACACTATGACATAGTCTGAGTATCATCCTAATGTGCAGTGAGAAACCATTTCAAAGGTTCTGAACAGGGTGGCGATACGACCAATTTTGCAGCTGCAGCCTGGAGACAGACCAATCGTGGAAACAGGGAGGTCAGTATAGTTCATACAAAGAGGACGGTGTCTGAGATCAAGGTAGATGGGGGTGGAAGCAGACGTCAGGTGAGCGAGTGGAGGCAGAATTGATGGGGTTTGCTAACGGACTGGATGTGGATCTCGGGGGAAAGGACGCACGCAGCATGGGCGGATGACTCCTGGGTTTCTGATTTGAGTGACAGAGTGAACAGTGACACCACTGGCAGAGATGAGAAAGCCTGGGGGCGGGTGACAGACTTTGAGGTGTGTGGGCGACTAAAATGCTGTTTGTAATGAGTCAAACTTGAGATGTAAGATGCTTGAATGTTATGGCATGTGGGCAGATTAATTTTTCAGCCTGGAGTTTGGGGGAGAATCTGACCTATCACTGCACGTGTGGGAGCCACCAGCATGTAGATGTTTTTTCAAGGCATCAGGAAGATGTGAAGAGCCTAGAGCGGCCCCGAGGAACACGAACATTTAGAAGCTGAGGGCTGTGGAAGGGGTGTAGCAGGAAGTGCTAATTGATTCTACATACACAGAATCAAAGCTGGCTAATACTACAGCTGGTTTATATGGTGATAACCGGCCAGAATAGGCGAGATGGACAATTTAAAGGATCAGCAAAGGACCAATGTGTCTGAGATATCACAAGGGGACAGGCTGCAGGGCTCAAGTGTAGGGACTGAGCTTGTAGTAGAAGAATGAGTATAAGTGGAGGGAAGAGGGAACTGAGGTAGGATGGCTTCAGTTTCTCAGTGAATCATGAAAAGGGCAGAAGAGAGGCACGGGTTGGTTGAACGCATGAAACAGCTGATGTAGGTAAGAGAACAGCAAGCCCACTGGAGGACCAAAGGAGGGTCCTTTGGTGACATCGCGCGCCCATTTGGGTATGATCGTTCAAGTGAAACCAGCCAGCTCAGTGTGATTTTCTTCTAAGAATATTCAGCTCCTCAGGTGCAGGTGGGAGGCAGATGGAAGGGCTCACCCAGGCCTGGGATCTTGAGCAGGGAAGTAACCCAAGGGTGTTCAGAAGAGAGGGACTGTGATAATGGACTTGGTGACAGTGTGGAAGGGCTGGGAGTGGGTGGATGGATCAATGGACTGGTTGATTAGTTTGAAGAATTCTGTGGTGTGTATTTCAGGAGATGAACTGGAAATGGTGCTCAGAACAGCCTCCCAGGAAACAGGCACCGAGTCTGCACTGCTCACTCTTGCATCTGCAGCTCCTAACGGCACCTGGCTCACTGCTCGTGGGCAGTGATGCTTGCTGAACTGAAAGTCATGTTCTGAGAACAGCTGTCGTGGTCTTGGTTACGACACTCATCTTCCTGCCTCCTCGGTGCTGCGGAGTCTTGGGCCTCTCTGTTGGGTCCTGAAGTCTATAAACTAAGACAGACAGCTGAAAGGCGTGCTCGTTGAAAAGGGCTTAATGACCGAGAACCGGGCTAAGAACTCAGACGGCGCAGTCAAGCCTGTTTAAGAGCCATTTTATTTGTTCCTGGGTCTTGTTTCTTGTGAGACAGGCCTTTCTCTCTCTACCTTTGTCCACTTTCAGAGTCTAGTCTTCCTCTCCCATCTCCCCCCAAGAACAGGTTTCCTCTCCTGCCTCCCCCCACTCTCAACTGGGGCGGTCCATCTCACGGCTCCAACTCTCATCTTCACAGAGCTCACCCACAAGCCCATCTCTCTGGCGGGGCGTTCTTCCTCTCCTGTCTGTTCCCTCCACGCTGTAGTCTGGGGTCTTCTCAGTGGGCCCTGTCAGTACCACAGAGTCTACACACCCATCCAAACTCACGGCTTCCCTTACGACCTTGTCTTCTCCTGGATCTGTGTTTGACAGATGGTCTACCCTCCCCTTCTTTTTCTTCCAAATTCCTGGATTTGTGTATGTAAAAAGGGTGTTGGCAAAGGTAAGATTTTTTTTAGGGGAGGGGCATGGAGATAGGGGCGAGAAAAAAATTCAAAAATTAACTTCTATGAAGTGCCCAAGTGTATCGGGTAAAATGCACCGCAGAGTAATTTACCTACAGTCACACACACGTGTGGGCTGCTTCCTCCGAGCCCACTCACCTCTAATGGGACTCCGTTTCCACTGGGGTGTTTACCCTTTCAGCCACTGAAGGCACATGGAGCTGAATCCCAGCTCCAGAGATGAGCCCAGACTGGTTGGAGACAATCCCATTCTCCTGGCTACAGTGATGGCTCAGAGTTGGGTACAAGCTCTAATCTGGGCACTGGGAGCAAAACCTAGGATTTAAGCAAGAGCTATTGGAAAAGACCTTTTTTCTTTCCTGAATGGGCCCAGGATGCTATCCATGTGGCTCTGTGAAGGCATCCCTTGGGGTGGAAGATGAAGTGGACTCTGGAGAAGGGAGAGCTGAGAATCAGCAAGAAGGCACATTTGAGGGCTCCAAGTAGCTGGATCCAGCCTCACCCTCTGGACTTTTGGTCTTGAGAGGTCCCAGACTCCTTCGGTCTGTCTGGCCTGATCTCCTGGTGATCCGTATCGAGAATTCTACCCTATAAACTAACAATCCCATTGCCCAGAGAGAACCACCGTCCACACTTTGGGTTTAATTTCTCCCATAACTTTTTAATGTATTTGTATTTACACAATTTCCTTAACTTTTTTTTTTACTATTACAAACTTAAGAAAATATATGTACTCTTCTGCAGGAAATACGTATTTTAGTTGATAATATTGTTTACCTCTTTTTATGTTAACCAAATCTGTCTTCTCATTTTTAATTACTGCATAATATTCCATTCTAAAAATATACCATAATATAGCAGATTTCCTATTAAAGAACATTCATATTTATTCTATGTTTCATACTATAAATGTGCCATTCTTATACCCTGGTTCTATTATTTCTTTAGGTCCTAGGGGTTAAATTGCTTGATCACAGAATATGTACATTCTTAAGGCTTTGGTGTATTTTCCCAGATTGTCCTCCAAAAGGAACATAAAATCTGTATTCCCATCAGCACGGAGATTGCTGTTTGACAGACAGGAGGGGACTAAAGGCTTGTTAAAAAGAAAATACTCACTTGCTAACTATTTTTTGAATGTCTGTTATTTGCATAACACTGTGATGGGTGCTGGGATATGCTGGCGGCCAAGGCCCCCCCTAAACTTGTTTCTCTGTGTCCTTCCCTCTCCAATTATGGCAGGTTTGGGGAAATGTCTAGCTTTGTGGATGAATTAATCAACACCACACATCATGGTGTTACATTGATGATGGCAGAGAGAACATGCAGGAGACGGGTGTGGCACCCCGGCACAGATGCTGACATCATCACTGTGCGGGAGGCTTCACCCACACCTTCCTTCCTATGCTCTCAGACCCTGTGCACATGCGGCTAAGAGCCTGGAAACCTTATTTCCTTTGCCAGCAGGGTTCTGCTAAGGGGCTGCCCGTGGGAGGCATTCGCGGGAGGCATTCGTGAGAGGCCAGAAGGTCGGAGGGGGGCAGAAGCTGTTGCACTCCGAGGAGACATAGCTGTGTGTTCCCCGGGCCATATGGGGCTGCAGCAGCCCCCCCCGCCTCGGTTCCCCGTCACTGGGTAATTCAACCTTCCCCCCACTGCTCCTTCATTCTGTCAACTGTTCTGCAACCTAAATCCCTATATTAAATTCTCCATTTGAAATAGCTAGAGTGGTTTTCCTTTCCTAATTCATGGAACAGCCCAAAGTTAAAGTTATCTTTCAAATTCTATCAGGCGTGAGTTGTGCCTGGACCCACACAGCATCTTCTAGTACGTCTAACAGTCCGTGTTTCTGGAAGGAATGGAAGAGATTGCTGGTTTTTTCCAGCTGAACACCAGATGAAGCAGTAACTGGCTTTGAAAGGGCATCTTGTACGAAAAAGACCTATCTTTAAACACTAGCATCGGACTCAGGAAGAGGAGAGACGCACACCGTGACAGGCGTACAGGAACTGAAACCAGCCTGAGGGAACACAACTTCCCTCTAACACTTAGCTAATCCCTTACACAGTCTGAGAATGCACATAGAGACAAGTGAAAAACACAAAGCAAAATGGCATGCGTTATTAAAACTGTTCACATTTGCTGTTTTGCTCAGAGTGCATACAGCTTAATCCACAGCATGAAATGTTTAGGGGTTCTTTTTCTTTTTTTAATTGAGCCCAGGAACTCATGCCTGCTAAGCACGCGCTCTACCACTGAGCTGTACCCTCCCCCCACCATGAAACATTCATAGGACGCAACCACCCTCTGCCACAAGTAGAGGGATGCGGGATACTGTTGTTCTAGAAAAGCCACTAGTTGCAATTATTTTCAACATAATGGTACAGAAACATTAAACCAACCCACAAGCTCCCTTTCTTTTCACACTCAAACCTGAATACAAAACGCTAATCAATGTTTAATGCTCCACCACATAAGTTATCATTTTCCAACCCTTCCTTTGGCCGTTGCAACTTTTTAAATAAACATTGACACTGAAAATAGCTTTACTGAGACACTGAAAATAGCTTTACTGACACATATACAAATACAAGCAAACCTAGAAAAATGGACAGGAGGCACTATCACCGGCTTAACTTTTTTCATCTCCGTCTTCTCCCTCGCTGTCATCATCACAATAGAAGATGTCTCTGAACAGGAAGACTTGCTTGGGGGCTGCCGGAGTCTGGATTTCGATCCCTTTTTTCTCCATCTTCTTCTCTAACTTTTCTTTAAGCAAAGGTAGACTAGTCTCATAAAGGTAGTCTATGATCTCTAAAGAAAAAAAACTGAATTTAGAAATGACCTGACAAAGCCTCTTCCCAAGGTCAAAGGCCAGAGGGCATCAGTGATGATAACGCACTGCTACTGCACTGCTGTGTGCAGGACCCGGCTTTGGTCGGCTCGCTTATATTTGCTCATTCAGTCCTCTCTCATAAAGCCAGGATTCAAACTCAGGAAGTGACGTCTGCTGAGTGCAGGAAGTGTTTCATCACATGCTCTGGGACAGAGTGTCGCCTGAGACAGTGGTGCCGGCGAGGCTGCTGGCGACTCTCCCGGAAGCCTGTCAGAGAACACCAAGCCTTGGGGCCCAGCCTAGAGATCAGGATCCACTATGTCTGGGTGAGACCCAGGGATGTGTATTTTTAACACATTCCCCATGTGACTCTGATGGTTCAAGTTTGGGAATCGCACATCTACACCACCCGCATGGCTGCAGAGAAGGAACCGGGCATCTCCGAGTCTTCTGTGGAACAGTGTGTGCCTGTGCACGTGTGTGTGCTGTGTGCAATCCAGGAGCACTCGCAGTTACTAAGCGCCCGGCACCCTGGTGACCACATTTTACAAGTTTGTTAACTCAGTTAGCACTTTGGAATGTCCTGTCGTGGAGGGGCTATAATTTGCCCATTTTTCACCATTTACATTCAAGGAATCTGAGGCTCCTGGAAGTCAAGTCACTTGCCCAGGGTCGTACTATCAGTGTGTGGACCCACGCTGTGTTCTTAAGTAGAGACACTGAAAACACTGACCTGGAAAAGTCTTCTTCTGCCAAAAGGGAACATAGGTAGCTTTCAGCTTATAAAATTTAGTTTGAACGTAAGACGGAGGAACATCCCTTTAGGAAGGAAAAGATGTAAAACAGTTAGTGGCAGTTTCAAAATGAATCACTTCAGTCCTGTGCACGATAAGGTGTGGACCAGACGTAAGCAGCTTTCTTCATCCAAAAGTGAAATTCTCACATCTATGAATGTGTGATAAAAACAAGACACAGGTGAAAAGCTACTGTTCATTTTAAGCGCGCGCTCACACACACACAGACACACAACACAGAAGAAAAACAGCAGTACAAGACGGTTTCTGTTTAAATTAGAATAATTGAAGCGACCCGTCGGGAAGACAAGGTGTAACACCAGCTCCCGCGGGCTGATGCTTCCTTCCTGCGTCCTTGGCCCTGCCCTGAGCCCTCCCTCGGAGCAACAAACAATCCTCACGACCCCTCTACGCGGGAGCCCCGACTCTTATCGTCATTTCAGAGATGGGGAAACTGAGGCATGGAAAAGTTGTCCAAGATCTGACAGTTAATAAGAGGCAGGCCTGGGACGTCAGCTGGGTCCACTTCAAACCCTGCACTCTCAGCCACTGCACTTTGGATAACTACGTACTTGTCACAATTCAAAGGCAGAGGTACGATTTGTTATCTTGCAAAGCTTTTTCTTCAGAAAGGGGGATGCTCTGGTGACTCAAATGCACTTTCCACTGACGGTAAGCAGGACAGAAACAATCGAGTGTTAGGCTGCTTTCTAAAGGGAACGTCACTACCTTCACTTCCTGGGCACCTTTTTTTCTTAAACCATCGAAGCGTGATGTATTTGTTTCAATACTTAACTCATCTCGTTGTTACAGGATTAGTGTGAATAACTTTATCTGCCACGTATGTAAAAGATGGTCGGGCTCTTTCAACCTCTTTGCTGCTGCAACCACCCACTGAACGTGCACCACACGCCACATACTGTCTCCTCTAATCCTCGTTACAGTCCTTTTAAACCAAGCCGAGGAGACCACGGCTCAGAGACAAGTTAGGGAAGAACCTACCCGAGGATGGCTCAACAATGCGCAGGGTCCGAGGACTCAACGCCCGGCCCCTGTGACGGCAAAGCCCAAGTTCTAGGGCATCTGTGCCTCCCTTGCCCCACAATGCCCAGAGCCCGGGTTGTTCCTGATCAAAGCTCAGACTTCAAGAAGTAACAATAATTAATCTGGACGTTTTCAAACTAGGTAGATGTTACATCTCATTAGGTGGAGATGCTTTCTTTAAATCCCGCCTAAATCATTCACAAGGAAGGCTCAAGAATCTGAGGAGACTGAACTTTCAATTTAATTTTTTTTCACTGTTTTAATACATTATTAAACCTTTGAGCATGTACTATGTCAAACAGTATTTGGCGAGATGCCAAAATGTCGACTTTACAGCTGTGAGATTTATAAATCTTAACTAGATCACTATTTAAGTATGTAACTTTACTTAAAATCATTAAAACCCCATTCTAATTTAAGAAATGTAATCTGAGGCAATGTCACAAAACACACAAACATTTATTGGCAAAGTCAGATTTGCAGAAAGTGGTTTGATACCAGCAGCTGTCAATGTGAATACTTCTCAGGATGGAAGCTGGTGGGGTGCACAGCAGGACCTCCAACCTTCAAAACACCTGACACCCTCTCTGTTCAGGGACCCACAATACTGAAGAGCAGGTGCCCCACCCCTGAGACGAGCTAGAAAAGGAAAAGGTTTGGAACAATGGGCACGCGTCTCTTGACTCCTGACAGGGCTTGTCATTCAAAGATTCCAATTCTCCAAGTTAAAAAAGAAACAAAAAACAGATTGTTCTTTGTTCTTTGTTCATAATTGTGAGGCATAAATAACTAAGCACCAGAACCAGTTTAAACCCCTCCTAATGGGTTTAATTGTGTGATGTTGACAACTTCACACCAGTAGCCACACTTCAGAGAAGGAGCAGGGCCACTACAGCCCTGCTCCGCTGTCCACCCTCCAGAACTAAAGGCTGAACAGCCCCTCAACACCCCCCACTTCCCAAAGTCCACCAGCCCTGGAGCCCACGATGCTCATCCCCATGCTCTGCTCAGGGGGCCGGTGCCCGGGAAGCTGGCTCTCCTCACCCAGCCAGGGAAACAGGTACTGGGGGTGCTGGCCTCCCTCCCTCAGCGAGAGCTGATTGGAAAATGCCAGGACTAAGCTGAGGCGGCCCCGGTGACGGCAGACAGCTCCCCACTCAGGCGACAAATGCAAGTCAACACCGAAACTACTGAGGGAAGCCTGAAGAGGAACTGGATCTTTATATGGTCTCAAAACACCTCCCCAGAGCCACGTCTCGGCACCAAGAGGAGAGCTGTTACTTGACTAGAGTCGGGAAACGGGGCAGACGCCGCCAGAGCCAGGGCATCGAAGTCAGAACCACGTGCCTCACGGCGGGATGTGGCGAGGTGACAGAGACACTGCCTGGCTGTGCCGGCGTCCTGCCGGAAACACAGAACCCGAATCTCACCGGGAGGGAACATCTGACAAACACCCCAATTGAGGGCCACTCTACAGGATGACCAGCCTGAATTCTCCCACAATTTCAACGTCAACAAAGACAAAGGCATTAACAGATACACTCTACCAAATATAAAACAGACAAACAAGGTCCTACTATATGGCACAGGGAACTATACTCAATATCTTGCAGTGACCTATAATAGAAAAGAATCTGAAAAAGAATATGTATATATTTATGTATAACTGAATCACTGTGCTGCACACCTGCAACACTGAAATCAACTATACTTCAAACAATTTTTTTTAATTTTTAAAAAAATTAAAAAAGACAAAGGTAAAAGAACTTTGCAGAATAGAAGATACTAAAGAGACAGATGCTGGACTGGACCTTAAATCAGGGGGAAATGCTCGGAAGGACATTACTTGGGACAACTGGTAAAGTCTGAACGTGGACTGGGTTTTAGAAAATAACACCGTATCAGTGTCATACGGCTCAGTGCGGTAATGATGCTGACGTTATGCAGCATAAATCCTTGCTGAGGACATAAAGCCAACGTGGCAAACGGTAAAAGGCTGATGATGGGCGAAGGGGACGTGGGCTCTCTGCACCAGCTGTAACCGGTGAGCTCCTTGAAGCTTTTAAGAGACTCTGCACACATGTTGTTCATTCTTCTGCGGTGTCTTGGGGGTGGGGTGTGGAGGGCTTGACTGATTTACCTGGCCCAGTACTTAAAGTGGGGGTTCCCAATACTTAGGTACGTAAATACAATTTATAGGTGAGTTCCATAGGCAGCACAAATTTCAGTCCTGCTCCTTAAAATTATCTTTTCATTAGCTTAATAGTAAACAAATGGTCTTACCCTATGGCACTAGCAAGGTCTTCCCAGTCTATTTCATTAACGTCTTCCACATTTATTTCATACAACCTATGAGAAAAAATAAAAATTAAGTTTCCAAGCAAAAATCAGCATGATGGACTTCACGGATGCACAGACTATTACGAGATGGAAGGCCTCAGCGTGTGCACCCCGTTCCAGGCCCCGTATCACATGGGCCCAATGACACTGGCATGCTAACCCAAGGTTAGCCCAAGGTCATGGAGTAAGTGAGCTACAGACCAAAAAGCCACCTTTTCTCCTCCTGAGCCTCTGCATCTCCCACCAGACCCTGCTGCTTTCTCAAAAGCTGTGCAACACACAGCTTCACCCTTCAGTGCAGAGACACAGGAGCTGTGCATGGGTCTCCTCAGGACTCAGTAAGTGACGGACACTGGGTCTAGACCTTTGTACCTACTAAGCCATTTACCCTCAACACCACCTGATGAAGGCGGGGGAGTATGTCCATTCCACAGACCAGGAAATGGGGCTGAGGGCCCGAGTCACTGGCTCAAGGTCTCATGACTAATAGGCAGGCGGTACCAACATGGGGACCCAGGCCCGCCCTGACTGAAGATGCCCTCCTTGGCTCTACTAGTCTCTGCTGTCTCTCTGGGAAAGGAAAAAAGGTGGAGACATCCCCAGGATGACCAGCGTGGAGAACGAGGAAGCACAGCTATGGAGGAAGAGCGGGGTCAGAGCTGAGGGCAGAAAGAGTGAAACGGGACAGGGTGGCCCACTTCCAAGGTTTCTCCTGCTCTCTGCAGCTCCTCATTTGATGCCAGCCCACGTCCACTAGACTTGCAGGCTTTGTAAATCAGGCCCACGTCTCCCCTTCCACCAGGGGCGGAGGACTCTGCATGGACCAGGGACTCAAAGGCAAAACCAAAGATCAAGCAGCAGTGACGCCAGCTAACGCGTGCTGGAGAGCAGCAGGGCTCGGCCGGAATTATCTCCCTCCACTTTCCAATGGACAGAAATAACTCATGTCTACACGAAAGCCTTAAAGACTAACGTAACTTTACTGAGTGCACGGTGTGTTTTACATGCATTATTTCATCTCTTCTCCCAGTAACACTAAGGTGGGACCATTATCATCATCCTTATTTAAGGTGAGCAAAGCAAGACCCAGAAAGGTAGGAAACACCCAAGGCCACGCACGCAGAACGCGCGGCGGCGGGGTCCGAACCGCAGCAATCCCACTGCAGATGCTGCTGTCTACCGGCTGCTCCGGCTAGAGGGGAAAACGAGTGAAGCAGAGTCACTTTCTATTTCCGTACCTTTCAATAAGATTGATCTTGGCCTGCAGGCCATTAACTCCCCGGTATATGTCCCGGCCATTCGTCATCCTCTTGGTTAGAATTTCTGTCCTACATCAGAAGGAAAACACAGTTTACTTTAAGGGAGTAAACACCAAAATGCCTGCTGTTTCTCTCATTTAAACTGTCCTTATTCAGAACCACTTTCTAACTTTTGCAATTCATCATAGTAACATTCACCACTACCAAGAATATACCTATTTTTAAAAGCAGAAAAGGATAAATAAAGTGATAAAAAGTTGATGGTTATTGAAATTGGATAATGGATACAAGGAATTCAAGTTTGTGTGTACTATCAAATTTCCATAATAAACAGTTTAAAAATGGGAAGAAAAAGAATAAACCTGTTAGCAGGTACTAAAGGACACTGAATAAATTCAATTTACTCTTGATTGTTTATAAAACAGTGAAACACTGCTCTCATTACCACGAGAGCTGCTGGAACACCAAATAAGGCAAATTTAGTAAAGTGATAAATGATTCAATGATTCCTCTAAGGCCCAAAGCTCACAGCCCAGGGAAAGGGCTGTCTGAAGTTCTGAGAGCGGCAGCCCAATTAAGAATATTTTTAAAGTGCTTCTCTTGAAGAGCAAAATTTGTCACAATCTGATGGCCAAATCATTAGCTGTGACATTTACATTCTTGATAAGGGAGGTACACGACACACACACAGATAACGTGACACCACCTTTACTAACAGCCACCCACGTTCACTGGTTTAAAACGTAACACTTGATGTCATTTCAATGTTTCATGAAGTAAGTATGTGTTCAGCATTCAAGTTCCCTACTTTTTGCTTCAAATTAAAAAAGAAGCCTTGCATGTTATTTAATTATGTTGATTGTGAAGCATAGCTACCCTTCATCATTTCGCTTTTAAAACACTGTCCTCCAATTGAGGACTCTTCCTTTTTTAAGTCCAAAATACAGGGGTAGATATGATCCAGCAATCCCACTCCTGGGCATATATCTGGAAGAAACTCTAATTCAAACAGATACATCCACCCTAATGTTCACAGCAGCACTATTTACAACAGCCAAGGCATGGAAGCAACCTAAATGTCCATTGACAGATGAATGGATATAGAAGTTGTGGTAAATATATAAGATGGAATATTATTCAGTCATAAAGAAGAATGAAATGATGCCCAAATGCCCAAAGCAACCTAAATGTCCATCAACAGATGACTGGATAAAGAAGTTGTGGTATATTTATATAATGGAATACTACTCAGCCATAAAAATAGCCATGTGCAGCAACAAAAATGGACCTGGAGATTTTTCATACTAAGTGAACTTAAGCTGAAAGAGATATCACATATGATATCACGTATATATGGAATCTAAACAAACAAAAAAAGCCACAAATGCACTTATTTGCAAAACAGAAACCGATTCACAGAAATAGGAAACAAACTTATGGTTACCACAGCAGAAGGGGGGTATGGAGGGATAAATTGGGAGTTCGGGATTTGCTGATACTAACTACTATATATAAAATAAACAAAAGATCCTACTGTATAGTACAGGTAAGTATATTCAATGCCTCTAATGGCCTATTATGAAAATACAAAAAGGAATATATATACATATATACATACAAATGAATCACTATGCTGTACACCAGAAATTAACACATTGTAAACAGACTATATTTCAATTAAAAAAACTGACTGTATTTCAATTAAAAATAATAAATGAATTAAAAAAATAAAAATATAGGGGTAGAAAGGGCTCTGGTTCCTCCATACAATACATACCCCCCCCCAAATTATCTGTTCTTTAGAGTTTATTTCCTTGAGTGTAGTCTTCTATTAAAATAAACAAATATTCTACAGCAAACTCTAAGGTATTCAAACAATAAATAGTATAATCCAGGAGTTTGCCCCCTTTTTTGAATCCTGTTTGATTTTATTTACATGCACTCTGGAAAAGACAAAACTGCAGTGATGGAGAACACACCTGCGGTGGCCAGAGTTAGGATGGGGACAGGTAGGAGTCTGCTTTTAACATACAGTACGCCCACTGGATTTCGCTCTTCTCTGAAAGTCAAGGTGACCACGCCCCCTCTGTGCAGGAGGTGTGGGTCGTGGGCCGCAGAACCACTGCTTCAAGCAGTCATGTTGCAGCTGAATGTCCAGCTCAGAGAACCTCCAGGGCTAGGAAAAGCTATAGCAGGCAAAGAACGCGCAGTGAGCCCAGCACTGAAAACACTTCTGTGGGGCAGATGTACCTGAAGCAGCTCTGGGATGGAGAGCGTGGCTGCCTCACTCCGGGTGAAGGCAGGGGAACTGCTAAATTAGGAGGAAAAAGTAAACGGGCGGCGCTATTGAATTTGCTTGGTTACAGATGGTCCTTCTTGACCTGTGAGGCTCTCCACATGGTAATTACACATATTCCTAGTAACCTCACCAATCAACCCACTCTCTAGAAGTCTCTGAGAGAGACAGAGGGAGAATGCAGCTCGTTGAAATTTGCGTAAGAAGCCTCAGACTTACCACTTACTTTTACACTGCATCCAGTTCCTGGTCTCCACTTTCGCCTCCACTTCTACCCAGGATATGCCTTTGTAGAGCTTCTCCCGAACAATGGACAGGCGGCCTTCCGGATTCTCTTGGAGTCTGGAGTTCATCTCTCTTAGCTCTTGGGGAGACATTTTCTTCAGAATCACTTCTTCAACAGCCTTGATTAGTTTCTGGGTTTCTGTCTTACTCCAAGCACCATGATTTATTTCTATTGACAGAAAAGGATGGTCTTGAAGTTGCTTATCTATTTGCTGCCAAACACAGTATTAAAAACAAAATGGGGGGGGGCATATAGCTCAGTGGTAGAGCGCATACTTAGCATGCATGAGGTCCCAGGTTCATTCCCCAGTACCTCCATTAAAAATAAATAAATAAATAAACCTAATTACCTACCCCCAAAACAAAAACCAAACAAATAAATTAAAAAACCCGACAGTGATGGATATGCCATTAGACGTCTGTCCAAACCCACAGAAGGTACAACACTAACAGGGAACCCTAACTGGAGGGGTTAGGACGTGTCTAAATGTGATTCTTTTTTTTCAGGTTTTACTTATTTACTTTTAGAGGAGATACTGGGGATTGAACCCAGGACCTTGTGCATGCTAAGCATGCACTCTGCCACTTGAGCTATACCCTTCCCCTTGGACGTGTCCAAGTGGATTCACGGACTGTGACAAACAGACCACTCTGGTGGGGGATGTTGCCAATGGGGGCTGTGTATGTGTCGGGGCAGTGGGTATAGGGGATATCTCTGTACCTTCCTCTGACTTTTACTGTGAACCCAAAACTGCTCTAGAAAAATAGTCTTAAAGATAAATCAGGCACTTTTCTAAGACAATGGGCACCATCTCAATTACACAACAAAAACTATCAAATGGATATGTGCAAATTAAAATACTAAAATTACTAAAAGGCCACAAATTCTTTTTAAGAACTAATGCCAAGGAAAAAATCCTTTCTTAAAGTAATCTATTTTTCTTTAACTTCCAAAAAGCCATTTCCCATTTCTGAGAATAATTATCACCCACGTAAAATTGCGAGGTTCTCGAACATTCAGTGGGGAAAAACTAAGCAAGTGACTTTATGCATAAAGCTCTCCCCAAGAGTTTCTGGAGTGAAATTAACCACTGTGATGTCACCGCAGTGGTGATGGATGCGCCTGGCAATTTCTGAAGCTGACCATCAGGGCAGGGCATCAGAAGCTTCCACGCTTCAGTCCTCTTGTCCAGATGTTCACAGTCACTCTAAGGAAGAGGCTGCAAACCAGCAGGCTGTAAGTATCTCTGGTTTGGCCCAGAGAGGGTTGCTGTTACTGTTTCTCCAATAACAATCTGGATGAATATTTAAAAAATCAAGTCTCAAGGAAAAAAAGGTATCTAGAATTCATACACACACACACAGACAAATCCAGATTTTTGCTTTACTTTTTGGAAACTGAAAAAAACTGGCCACACGGAGTCTTTGAACAGCACCAGGGGCTGGAGTTGGGGGCACAAGAGGCCTGGGCTCCACTCACCTCAGGGCCTGCCGTGTGCCGGCCACGTGCACGGCTCTGCCCGTGGGGCCCCCGCACGCGAATCTCAGTGCTGACCTAACACCGACTAAGGACTGTCTTCTCAAAGCAGCTGGGGATTTTCTAATGTGGGGAATATAACCAAGGACACTTTTTATGAAAGAGGAGAAAAAGAGACAGGAGATCCCTGTGCTGGCTGTGGGAAATGTCCCTGCCTACCAGGCCCTCCCTCCCAGCCTTGGTGGCCCAGGCTCTCTTCCCCACCAGCTTCCTTGGGTATCGGTTCACCAGCGAGTTATAATCATGCTGAAAGCTACTGAACTGGGATGGGCTAGAAATCAGCCTGGTGCATAAAGGCTGCACGGTTTCATCGATACACATGAGGAAATGAATCAGAACAGAGGACGGCTTGAAAGTGACGACTCTCTGGGAAGACAGGCCTGCACTGACGCCCGGGTCCTGGTCCCTGTGGGCTGACGCAGGCCTGCTGCGCTGGTTCATTCACCCTGGTGGGCACCAGAGAGCACGACTTACGACTGCTGATCTGGGAGAACTTCAGGGCCACGGAGAGGCTGCTTCGAGACACCATCTCACCAATCTTTTTCCAGTCGTTTCCATGGAGGGACTGGTATATCTTTACCTTCTCGGTATCTCCTTTGCTATACCTAAGAGGAAGGGAAACGTATCACAATTATGCATTAACCACAAGATTAAAAACTATCCTCATCTCTGGCTGCCGCAGCGCTGGAAAAGGTGGAATGGGGCGGGCTGTCAGAAACCTGGTTCAGCGCAGCCCTGCGAGGACCAGAGCCTCATCACCCGTTTATCTGCCTCTGCCTTTAGACCAGCGCTGTCTAACAGAAATGTTGTATGAGCCACGTATGCCACCTAAGACTTCCTAGTGGTCCCGTGAAAATTAATTTTATTTAGTTTCCATGAATTTATTTAACAATATATTTTATGTGACCCCATGTATTAAAAAGACAACCATTCCAACATGTAATCAGTATTTAAAAGCATGAATGAGATTCCTTACATTCTCTTCTTCACACTAAGCCCTCTAAGTCCAATGTGTGTTCTACTCCTTGGCAGATTTCGGCTTGGACTAACCACATTTCAAGTGGTCAAAAGCCACACGAGGCTGGCAGTCACCGGGATGGACAGCACAGCTCTGCAGGGGAGGTCCTAGCAGGGGAGGGACCCTGTCGGTTTTCTACACCACGGCATCCATAATGCTTGACAGACAGATGTCCAAGAACTACGTGGCAGAGGCTGAGCACAAATATGTAACTTTTTAAGGAAGCAAAGGTACAGGAACCCCACATAGAACAAATATATTAAAGAAAAGAACTAAAATGCACTACAATATAAGTAGATTTTGAGATGAAGCACCTTAAACGTTTAAGTGAAGGAAAAGCAATTCCTTAACGTGGCGGGGTGGGAGGTGGCGGATTCTGTTATTACTAACGCAACACAAAAGCAGCCCTAGGAAAAGGCAAACCACTGCTAACAACAGCGACCCACAATCACGTCGGGACGATGAGATCCCACTGTTCTCAGAAATTCATCTAAAATGCAGAGAATGGTGAACACCAATGCGTAGGCCTTCACTGCTGAGAATCAAGCTTTCTAGTAGTTTCCAACTCAAGGCAATCAGGGCCTTTCTGAGACTAATAAAAGCCGACTTGAAGGCATCCTTGAAGCAAACAGAAAAGAGGACAGAAGAGGGAAATTGAATGTACAAAAATGAGGAAACAGGGGTCCTGAACTCCCCAACCCCTGAGGGCCTTATAATTCCTTGACTTTGGACTTTCTGCAGTTTTTTTCACTTAGGAATTCCTTAAATTGGAAAAATATTCTAAGGTAAATGGTCATCACAACACAAATAATATGGTACAAATGAATGAACTTTCTTATTGGAATGACAGGTGCTCATTATTCTAAAAATTTCATTCCTGCACTGATATGACGGGTAGAAAAACATGCCACCTCTCTGATTTACCAAAAGCATCTTTTAAGTCCCATTTACAATGTCATCTTCAGTGAATTTCCTAAAAGTTCTGTCCATGGCTGTCCAACGTTGGGGCTTGGGAAAAAGGGAGGCAGGTTTCAGTCTGTGTAGGGGGCCTTTCCTCTACTTAAGGTTTGTTTCTTTTGGTTAAAATTTAAAAAAAGAAACCAAGGTCATAGCGCTGTTGGAAGTTCTGGTAATACGTACGTCTTGCTTTAAAACCACGTAGCTAAGGAGGACTCAACCGGCCCTGCTGGCGGCACTCACTCCGCCTCCCAGAGCGAGATCAAGTAGTCGAGCCCATGGTTGCTGCCTGGGTCCTCGCAGGTAGGGCCCGATGCCTTCCGGCTCCTCCCCTGGTCCCTGGGCAGAGTGCTGACCCATACTCGACACTTAATCTACATTCGCTTTATTTGGAAAGTTGGAAACAGACTATAACTGGGTATTTCATTTAGGATAAAAGGGAGGAGAGAATGGTTGTCACTACATGAAGCTCTCTGCCTCGATGTTACTGAATCACACTGAAATGACCTCACACCAGCACTCAACTCCACCTTTGAATATTTTGGGTTCTGAAAACCCAAAGCACTGGGCTAAGTGAGAAGGAACGCCTGGGTTTGCAGGGAGATTACAACTTACCAGAGAAAATTTCACGAGCAACAGTAAGAGGCAGAGCATGCAGAGGGCTAAAACGAAAGAAAAAGCTGCAGATCTCGACAGGGAAAGGTCACAGAAGATTTATTTAACAAAGTGAAAACTGAAGAGAGCCTTGAAGACATACACCTGACAGCAGATACACACTCTGGGTCCGCACACAGAAATCGTCACGATTTTGGCGCTTCTAACCTGTTCCTGTGGACGTTTTGCTTTATAGTATCAACCAAGACCAGAGAAACGGTCTGCTCAAGCTGCTAAGCTTGCTGACTTACCTGCCTTTGTAATTATTGACATCGAACATCTTCTTTGCTCGATAGTACACCAGCTTCCAGGGCCGGGCAATGCCCTTCCCTAAAGGCAGGAGAAAGGTACTCAGAGGTGCACACAGAGCATGGCGTGAAGGGCAGTCCCGATGGTGAACGGAACCCAGAACAGCCGCTTCCAACAGCACGCGCTGTCCCAGACCCCGTGGGAAGGCTGGGGTTTCCTGTGTCCCACAGAAAGCTGTCTCGGGGAGCAGATACACAGAATCATCAGTTTCCCTGGCGACCTCCAAAAGTTAGACGCTTAGTGTGTAAGGCTCCGGGCTTTGGGTCTGCCAAATTCATGGAAGAGACCCTTACAAGGCAAAGTGATTTTAACATAATTTGAATTAGGAGGCAGGGGTGCTAAGGTGGAGAACACAGGCCAGCGGGTCTCCATGAGATAAACAAGAAAGCTTTCCAAGCGAACAACTCGTCCCTGCTTTCCCACTCTCAAGAAGAGAAACCCCCACAGGGCTCGCTGTTCTGATTTCCTCGGCGCATTCCAGAGAACACCTAAGAAATTATCCTCTTTAAATTTGAGAGAGGTTTTTTTTTCAGTCGAAACCGACGTTGCTTCCTGACCTTCAAACTTTCCAAGGATGCCTCCCAGAGAAGAGTTCCCGCTCCAAGCATGTATACAGCTACATGAAAACTGTGAGGCGCTACTCTTGGGAGACAGGACAGCCCCAGTGCCTGAAAGCCACGCTGGCAGCGAAGACACCACGCACACGCACTGCACGCACAGTGCGGGCCGCGGGGCCTCCGAGCAGGGCAGGAAGCCTGCGGGGGCGCAGAGTGCCCGCCGCCTGACTTACCGATGTGCAGTCTGAACGAGTGCTTCCTTTTCAAGTTGGTGATGGTGGATTTCTCCTCTGGGTACCTGTCTGCGTACAGCAGCTTGTCTGCGTTATCGATTCCCGTCAGGGACAGAAATTCTTGCACGTTTTTCTCTAACTGCTTATTCTCCTTCACAGAAAACTTGCCAAATTTAATGGTGACACCTAGGGTTGGGGGTGGGTGAAAAAGGACGCAACTGTCAACCATGAATGAAAGCGAACCAACGCTGGGTCTTTAGCCATTTAGCGTGGCCCCTGCCCGTGCCTTTGACAGCCGCTTTCCGTAGAGTTTGGCTCAAACCACACCCTCCTCCCAAAGGCTTTCCCTCATCATCCTACTCCAATGTGACCTTTCTTGTGTCATCAATCTCTCCCCACCCTCCCTTTTTTTTAACCTCAAGGTACTGGGGATAGAACCCAGGACCTCATGCATGCTAAGTATACGCTCTACCATTGAGCTACATCCCACCTTCCCAGCATTTAAAATAATCATTAAAAAAAATTAGCAGTAATTTATATTCATTAAAGTTCTAACAGTATTGATATAAAAGTTATCTAAAAGAAGCCCCCCTTCACTCTGCTCTGTCGCACCCCCCACCCTGCCACCACGGCGGGGCTGTGCACTGGCTGGCACAAACGTGAACACAGACGTATCATCTCTCATTTCTCTACGCATATATGTTGGGGGGAGGTGGGGCGATGTCACTGCACTTCATGTTCTGTTCCTCATCATAACTGAGAGCACTCAAGTGTCATTATTACTGACTGCACGATACACTCTATTTTCCTATTCTTAGACTTATCTAAAAAATCTTTTACAAAATGCATACTCATAAAAATTTCAACACAGAATACAGAAATAAAGTGG